AATCTTCCTACACTTATATACAGATAGTTTTACATACCTGGTGAATCTTCCTACACTTATATACAGATAGTTTTACATACCTGGTAAATCTTCCTACACTTATATACAGATATTTTTACATACCTGGTAAATCTTCCTACACTTATATACAGATATTTTTACATACCCGGTGAATCTTCCAACATGTATACTGATAGAAACAGTTTTATCACACACTTGGTGTATGTTACTGTTGTGATTCAGCCAGTTGTATTACATACCTGGTGAATCTTACTGTAGTGATAAAGCCGGTTCTACCATATAGCTAGTGAATCTTACCATAGAAGTACAGTTTTTGGGCTATGCTATACAAGGTTCTGTTTTGCACACAACTTTTTCACCATTATTCTACTGTAAGTTGATATCATTGCTCTGTAATGAGTGGGTTTTTTTGCCATTGTACAATTGTATGATTTTTGCCAGTCCTTACATGTTCACATTATACATGTGTGCCCTGCCCTGCACACTGGTGGATATATACATCGGCACAAAGGCTTATACTCTGTGACTTCATATGAAGATGTGTGGTAGTGAACATTTTATATCTATGAACTTACATCAGTGCATTTAAACTTTCTGGTATGATAATTACATAAGTATACAGGAATTTTAATGTAGGAATTTAAGAAATTTCACTAAAGTTTAATAAGTGGGGGTCCATTTTGGGTTCCAATATTGACTTGGCAAATATGTAAGTAGTTTCTCTTGTAATTTTTTTATTTATTAATACATATATGAATATACTTCAAAATGTCTCCATACCTATTAACTTGATGTTGATATTCAGAAGATAAGGTCATGGTCCTTTGGTATGTAAGATGTTTAGAGTTATGTCCCCTAGACCAATATGAAAGGGTATAGCATTTCACCAAGAGTCAATATTTACTCTTTCAACACATATCTAAAGTCAATATTTGCGTATGAGATTGAAAATTCAAGAATGGAAAATTTTCTTAAATCATGCCATAAGCATGAATCCCTGAATTTTGTAGTAGAGTAAAAATTTGTCATTCAATGATCAGCCATCGATTTAAAAGTACATTCTAAAGTAGTAGTAGTAGTATTTAAGATTGCCTGAAATCTGTATAGATGTCAGTCTCCTGACACATAGAAAACCAATATATATATATGCTGTAGAATCAATAAATGAACAGCGTATGGCATTACACTTTTACTACCCTACAGGCAGAGACACTGGTAACTCGATAGTAGTCTGGGGATATAACAATGTTGTTGATGGCCTGTTAGTGGAGGTGCTGGTACACTTTAGATGTAACACAACTATACAAGGAATGTTTATATACAATATTGTTGGGGCAGGACATGTCAGTACAACATTGTGAACTTGTAAGATTGTATTCCTATATATTGGAATCCAAAACTTTGATATATATATAAAAAAAAAATATATATATAGTATCCTTTTAGTGTATATCTATATTCCCTTTTCCAGATGACAATACTGAAGATGCTTCCAACCTAAGTGTAGACAGTAAAGGTCACCAACAGTATGTCACCAACACATTGAACAACTCACACCGAATGGAGCCTGCTCAGGGTGAGGCGAGTCATGATACAAGTGTTCTGGACCCCAGGGATGTCCCTCCCTCAAAGTCCCATGATCCTGGAGGTGGGGGCCCAACAGCTGATGAGAGTCATGATAAGGGAGATAACCCCATCCCCAGGCCACCATCAGATAGCTCAGCAGGTCCTGCTATGTCTTTTACTGTTGACTTTGATGAAGACATTAGAACAATGAATTCTGCAGGAAAACTCAGTGACTTTGTGCCATCTAAAATGAGGAAAAGTTTCAGGGAGAGAAAAGAGAAAGCTATAGCTAAAGCTAAAGAGGCTAATTCACCTGAAAAGTTGGCATCTAGTTCTGTTGCCAAAGATATCTCACCTGCAGCCAAGGGAGGTAAATCTGTCTCTAAAGCAGGAACACCAGAGAAAGAAGATCTACCAGAGGTAAACATTCTTCTCAGGTCTACTTTTTAAACTGATTAACAGAGAAACTGAATTGTGATAGTGAACTGCTGTTTGCAATCTTTGGAAGACAGTTAAGATATCATTGTACTGATGAAACACATGAAAATATATACCAATATATAGCTTTTATTTAGAATTCCAAACTTGAATGCTTGCTGCTGTATCTTTCAGAAAATAGAAGCCGAAGAAATCGCAACTAAAAGGCAAAAGAAGGCAGAAGCCGAGATGACACCACCAAGACTACGGAAGAAAGTAGAAAACGAAGAGATGACTCCTCGAAGACAGAAGAAAATTGATGAAATATGGGAGTCAGACTCATCATCATCTACTAAAGGCAGAAGGTCAACAGAGATGAAGAGGTCAAGCAGATCCTCTCAAGAAAGTGACAATGTTTCAGTTCCAACAAGGTTGACAAGGTCAATGGATACAGATAAGGTCACCACAAGGTCGTCAAGGTCAATGGACACAGATAAAGTCACCACAAGGTCGTCAAGGTCAGTGGACACAGACAAAGTCACAACAAGGTCATCAAGGTCAGTAGACACAGATAAAGTCACAACAAGGTCGTCAAGGTCAATGAACACAGAAAAAGTCTCCACAAGGTCCACTAGGTCGATGGACATGGATAAGGTTACCACAAGGTCACCAAGGTCAATGGACATGGACAAGGTCAACACAAGATCCACAAGGTCACAGGATACAGAGAAGGTCACTGCAGTGTCAGCCAGAGGTACTTAGAGCAGTTCATCGTTTACTTTGTTGTATAACTTAATGTTCAATGAAAATGCATTTCTAAAGAATTTACTTTTTCTTAATGAATTTACATGATTTACTTTTATGTTCAATGAAAATCCACTTCTAAAGAACTTTTTCTATGCATATTTGGTTTTCTACCTGTTAAATGTATCAATCAAAGTACAAACATTATATATGTCAGTCCAAAAACTGTGATATAAATATGTCAACATATTTGGTCATTGTAGGTACCAAAACATATGTCAAAAGAAAGGTAACAACAGACCCAAAAAAATCCCAGAAATCTGCCCAGCTTAAAGAAGAGGACCAGACAGCTGCTGCAGCAGTGCTCAAAATGACGGAAAGTGCCTCATATCTCATAGACAAAATGTTTGAAAGCAGTCCCTCTAAACCAGGGACAAAAACAAAATCTAAAACCATGGCAGACAGATTCACAGAACATACCATGTATCGTGAGGCTAAAGAATATGACAATGAGAAATTCAAACTTACCCTGGATACTGACAACTCAGCCCCACTCCTCGACTTGATGACTCCCACCAAGGAAGGGAGTGAGGAAGAGTTGAAGGAGGTGGATGAAGCTGTGGATAATGTCAGTGAGGCTGGGACATACACCATCGATTGTGATGATGTTGATGAGGAGGAACAGCAGGCACGACATAGTATAGACACAGTATTCGGGGTAGCCAGCGATGCTGACATGATGTCGCAAAGTCTTGTCATCAATGATGAAGGCAAGAAACGTCTGGATGAGCTCAGAATTGATGAGCCTCTGGAGGACAAGTTTGCTAAAGGGGAGATAACTTTGGCAGACCTGGAGAAGGAGATTGGGCGGCTAGAGAGGAGGAAGACAGAAGTGTCCGTATCCAGTAGTGTAGAGGGAGAAGGAGGCAGCTCTGCCCTGCAGGAACTCAGAATCATTGAGGATCATGTAAGTCAATCCTTGGATACTTTCTGTAGAATATAGTATTCAACCTCACATCAATATTTTTACTGCAATGTTATTAATTTGAGGTTAAATTATTTTTAGCTATGTGGTTAGATTTTAATGGTGAAGAATTTATGTTTTAAATTTTGGATCTATTGTTATAGTACTTTTTTTTTTTAAAAATGGTCAGGACTGTAGGGCCATACTTTCCTTAATAAATGCCTGTTGTGGTGGTCTCCAAACAAAGTCAAATCACATCAACAATTTCCATTTTTTTTTGAGAATTTCAGTCATAAACAACACAAAGAATACTCTGTCTACTAAACAAATCATCAATGACAATTTTGTAGTTATTTTTTCTCAAATTCAAGATTCCCAATATAATATTTTCAGGAGCATAAAATCCTCAACAGAAGTTATTACAGTTTACTTGTTTATATATGTTAGTAGATCAAAACGCTACATCTTTTATAAGCACAGATGTGTTTAGTGCTGACCCCTGTATATGTATGATATGGGCCGGTGCAGTAGTACCCCAGTGTTCTGTGAGGTTAGACACTTTAGTGCTGACCCCTGTATATGTATGATATGGGCCGGTGCAGTAGTACCCCAGTGAGGTTAGACACTTAGGTACACGGCTGGAATGTAAACAGTGTGTAATCCTACATCAGCAACCCCTATCTTCACCACCTGCTGTTGGTATGGAATCGTAACCCATTATACCTGCTGGTGCTGAACCATTTTATCTAATAGCACTGGTATGCTGGCTAATAGTAGTGATTTAGGAGAGAGATTTACAGTCTTTACTAGGTAAGGTAGAGTTATCTCCCTTTGGTTTAAGTTTCACTCAAATTGTAAAAAAAGCTCAACTGATGAAAAGGATTCAGAATCTAGTAATATGTATTACATCATACTGGTGCAGGATTACACGGTATTTCAATGAAACACTGCTTCGCGTTGATAAAGTGGTGTTCTAATTGAAAAAGATAAATTGGAGGTTGTTCAACAAGTCTGCACTCATTAAACAGTATGAAGTAAACCATGTTCATAGAGAATGTGACATCGGAGTGAGTATATATAGAGAGACTGGTCAAACTGATCACATGAGGTGTAAACCTCAGGTGTATTTTGTTTAAATAGTCTATTAGCATGTTTTAAAGTTGAGAGTTAAACATTCCATGGTTTCTAGGGGGTATTATATATACCTGTTATTTCTGTACACTGTGGCGATCTATATACCCGTATTTACTTTCCTACCTGTGTTGTGTGTTTAAGCCTATATAATATTGATTCTGACTATCAAGGACTGGAAACGCCATCTAAAGCAGGTGTTCATGTGATACAGAAATATTTTTGTCAACGCTTTCATATTAAGTTACATGTTTACAGCATTTACACAATGTAGATAATTACTCCTACTTGTATTTCAAGGTCTTTTAAACCTGTTATACCCAGGCAGGTATCTGAATGTTAGGTTTATAGGGTGGTGTCATTTCTGAAAAATAATTCTAAAACCTAGTATTTTGTCATCTTTTTGACGTCAGATCTTTTTGTTAGAGTTGAAATTCCATTTGTCCATTCCACAGTTGGAGAATTCATACAGTAAATGCACTGCTGAGTGTGCAGCCTTTCATCTTTTGAAAATGAATACAATCTATTACATGTGTCATATACTTTTGGAATATCCTGTAAGATATAAGAAAAACAGCAACTAAAACTTTCCACCCCAGCATATATAACAACCATAAAATTACTACTTCGGACGTGTTGGGTTTCACATCCTCATGGTGTACAGTCCTAGTTAGCATAATAAGATCACCACAAGCCCTATAGAGTATAGTAGAGAAGGTCCATATCACCAGCTGGGAATCAGTCCCTAGGGGAGAATGGCTTGGTTTAGATATGTACTTACAAGATGTAACTGTAAGTGGGACAGCTTTATTAGTGACTCACTAAGGAAAATGTCCTATACCAGGTATTCATCCAGAAACTATGGTCAAGTAGTGACCTTAAGTAATGAGGTGAAAGATTAGGTAATAGCAGTCAAGGGATCATCACCTTTGGTCGTTCAAGCTGACCAGTGGTTCAGTGCAGATCATTCGGTCATTCATGGGTGAACAGTTGACGGACTATTGCCCTCAGGATGGACAGAGAACAAAGTTACTTATATTCACACCATAAAGTTACCTGAAAAATGACCAGTACAGGGTCAGTCATGCCGACATCACACAATATCACCTACTGGTACTGACCATTAAATTGTCCACTCATAACTTCTGGAGCGCTGGACACTTTGTCCACTCTATGTCCACTCATTTGGACTTTTGAATACTTTTGTCCATAGACCATTTTACTGATACAAGTTTAGATAAGTCAAGTGTTATGTATTACCGTTACAATTGATCCTAATTTTCTTCTAAAATATTGACCATTGTACCTAAATACCTTAAGAACGCCTCTGATAATGGTCTTCATACATTAAGGGTGGAGAATTCATCAAGTAAAAGGGCCCATATACCCACATGGTTAGCTGTACTGGGGACACTCCTATTAATACCTACGATAAAATTGATCAAAAGCTGTAGGTAAAGTAATGATCTGTTGACATGCAAGGATACAGTATACTCAACAAGATAGACTTTTCAGATAGATGTTTAATGGATCTGTGGCTCTGAAGGCTCCCAGGGACTAACCTCACACAGACTGTGTACATTAGTGAAATTGGATTAATAAGCAAAGGAGGAAGTTGTATGAGACTTGAGTGCATGTCATACCTGTATGTTGTACTGCTTGGGAACTGGAAATTTCATTTAGTGGCTTGTTTTAACTATCTACCATTATACTCACTGCATTGCTTATTATTGATACGTCTAATAATATATTCAAGGTTATAATGTTTATTTGGTGATATTGACCTGATTGAAGGTTCTATTTACCAAAGTATTCATTCCCAACTGGTCTGTTACTGCAGTAAACTTGCATGTTTTGTATGTTGGTGAGCTGTAAGTATAAGGATAGTACCACGGTGCTTGTACAGGAGTTACTGCATCACTACTGTAATACAGTCTGTACCTATGTCGTGACTGGTTGATATTAATTGTACACATGCTAACATGACACTAGCAGAAGACTTTTAACTGATGTATGGTATTGGTTGTGTGTCACGCCCAGCCTATATCCACTACTGTCTATGACACCCAAGGCTGGGGTGATTGTTCAGGAATTCTTATAGAAATACCCCATTCAAGGCAGCACACATTCAATGTTAGGATAAAGAAAAATTTCATAACAGATTCATGGAAACAACTGTATACCTTGTCCTGGATATGAGTCATTTACTCAGCAAAGTACCTGGTGTTTGTTACAGGGATATTTCTATGAAATCACAAACCACCTAAATCTACGTAGGTGTTTACCATCATTTCAAAAGAAATACAGGAGGATAAGCTTTGGGATGATTATTCAGTGTAAAACGAATCATTATCAAAACAGTAACAAGGACTGTCTGGTCAGTTTGTACAATTGTAACCATCTGTGAGAGTTATGAAAAATAGTTGTGGAATTCTGGCTTAGTACAAAGTCAGTTATAGTTTCCAGGCAAATGTGATGAGTTTACAACTGGAATTGGAGATATCTTCATCAGACAATAATTGATACCTCAAGTTGTGGGTGCCCCTGACAGATCATTCCAATCAACAGATGAAGGAGTAAACAGGAGCCAGAAGTGTCGGTACTATAAATATTGGTGCTGAACATTGTGGGTCAGGAATAAAGACTGAACAGGAACAGGATTCTGGATACAATAGTGATCCTGAACTTCACAGAAACTGTGACTGCATGGTTTAATACCTTCTGGCTGACCAGTGGAGACCCAGATCAGATCTGTGTGATCTGTACCAACATATACATGCTGTAACTAGGATGGTTATAGACAGTGATCAGTTTATACACCTGCTTTAACTGGAGTGATAATCTGTGATTAGTACAGAAATCTGCTGTAACATCCACTTGCTGTAACTGCTGTTGTGGGCAGTGATCGTCGGATAAACCTGCTGTAACTAGTGCTAATCTGTGTTTAGTACAGACATCTGCTGTAACAGACACCTGTAACTGTAACTGCTGTTGTTGTAGGCAGTGATAATTGTATACACCTGCTGTAACTGTGGTTATAGGTATAATCTGAGAGATGAATGATTAGGTTCTACATGTACTGTCTTGTACATCGCATCACCTAGAGTCAGTGAAGCGTGAATTGACGGATGAATGTTGTCAGATGATGGAGTCACGGTTCGCCGGATGACTTGACACCTGTAGAGGTAAATGTGTACAGTAGTGTAAGAGCTCGTCACACTCTCTGTCTGTGATCTTGCAGCGGAAGTGTTGCACCTTGACACAGACTGCTACAGTCACCTCGACTGCCAGGGAATCCGATGGATTGGGCTTTGCATTAAAAGTTCAGGCCAAAATTGTAATTGTTAGATGTTACAAATATAGCTACGATGAAACTGATACAGTAGGAATGTTATCTGATGTTATCTTCTGCCACTGGATGGACATTTAGGACCCAGACTGTCAGTAGGACTCAGGACTGTCAGTGAGTTTACATTGGTGTATACTCACACTGGATGGAGAGACTTATAACATTGTGTTCCCTGGTTTACACTTGGAAACTCCTATTGACTTAATAGTCATCATCGACACTGACCTTTAATACTGACAGTCACCTTTCCTGTGGACACTTCTGACATTTCACATTTTAAAGAACAACACAATCATTTTGTGTATGATCCAGCTTTTCATCGGTGATATTCTATACTCTGGTGTCAGGTAAATATGGAATGTCTTGTGATGTCATGCATGTCTGACTGAGAAATGGACCTATACAGTTTGGATGTAATAGCTGGACAGTCCACCTGCTACTGTTGTTGACTGGTATCGGCCATTCTATGACTGATGAACAGTGTCACGCTTGTCAGTCTACATGCTGCAGTTGTTGACCATTG